ATGACTCTTCAGGATTCTGAGTGAATGTAGCAATCTTTTTCCTCCATTCTTCAACGTGTGACTCATCAAAGAAGTTACGCAGGAATGCGTTCTTGATGTCACTCTAGGTTGTGAGAGAACCTGGTGGTAGTTGTCTCAGCCACTGCAAAGTTTCTCCAGATAGAGAGTACTTGAAAAGCTTGCAGAGAAGATAGTCTTGAGGGACTCCATTGGCTTTTATGACGATTATGAGATCCCGAACCTCTCCAGATGCTCCATAGGATGCTCACTGGACAACCCACAGAAGGGTACTTGTCCTACAAGGGTGTAGTACTGCGGCTTAAGCTCGAAATCTCCTCTCTGAATAGCAGGAGGGCGGATGGCTGATCGGTTGGAATAGAACTGATCTGGACAGTTGTAGTCAGCCAAAGATCTAGCTTGGTTAGCCTCTTCTACAGGTTGAATGATGTCTGTAGGTGCAGTCTCTTTCTCAGGTATGATCTCCTTCTGAGCGTTCAGCTTCTGACCTGCTGCATTACGCAGGTGACCATCTCGATCACGCAGGTCTCCATTCTCATAGGTAGTGAGATCAATGGGCCCTATCATGTCTCGCCGGTTAGTATCGATCGATGTAAGATGAGGTATATCGATTGATGTCGGATGAAAGGTATCGGTCGACGAACGGTTGTTGATGTCGAGCGATGTGACGGTGAGAGTATCGGTCGACGTTGAAGGTGTCTCGGTCGACTGTGGTAGGTAAGTATCGGTCGACAGGGATGTGTTGATGTCGATCGATAAAGAGCGTAGGTCTTTGCGGATGCTACGTTCCAAGCCGTGAGGATCTTCTGAGTACAAAAGGTGTTTGTTCTTGTTGCTTCTAGTACTGCTAGGCATGTACCAGAAAAAGACAAGAAACAATTTTTGGTGTCAGAAGATAATTAAACAATAAAAGAAAAATAACCTAGACCTAATCAGATTAAATCTAATTGTTATCAAAGTTCCCCGGCAACGGCGCCTAATTTGATATCGCTCAAATGTTTAACCCTAAGAAGTGAATTACTCTCTCAAATAAGAGGTTCAGTTGTAGTACTTAAGGATCGAATCCACAGGGAACTAAGGAACACAATATATGTAATCCTAAATGATTATGCTAGGTTGATTAGGTATAAAATAGTAAAATTGCAGTTTTGTAAGCAATGATAAGTTGCTTAAGAGAATGGGTTTTAGGTTTAAAACAATAAGAGAAAGTGGTTAGATTCAAGGTTGTTATTCAGATAATCAGGATTATAATGCTATAGATGTTTTAATGAATTGCTTGCAAGATATATGAGAACTTCGATTCTTAGATAGATCTAATAGCAGTCGCTAAATAGACACATCCATTGATCTTATTGCCAGAAATATCGACCGATGGTATGATCCCCATGTCGGACGATATAAGTAGCCGTCGATCGATTACTGTATAGGAGTATCGATCGATATAGCATAAGATCGAATCGAAACTATGTTCACCGAGATCATAGACCGGCTCTTGCACAACCCTACCAAATGATTTCAGGACAATGATTAACAAGTTAAATCACATCCATGATCATAGTCTACGTAGCTACTCTAGAGTAAGCATTAGGGTTCATTTGGATAATGAATATCAACAATTCAACATTTCATAGTTAGGGCTAATCCCTCATAACTATTTCAACCCTAAATCTAACAAAGATATCTACTCAGACATAGCTGAGAGATTCATAACAACAAACTAGTAATAGAAACTCATAGATTAGAAGATTGAACTTTTGGTTCTTGGAACAACAAATCTCTTTGTGTGTTTCTTCTAAATCTAGAATTCTATAACCTTTAAGAAATTAAGATGAAAAGAAATACTTTATTCCTAAGTATAAAATAGAACAAATGAACAAGAAAAGTATGCAAAGCTTTTCAAGTACAAAAGTAACCAAAACAATAGAAACATTCAAAAAGCATGTCTAGCCAAACACAATGGCAAAACTATAAATATGAGTTCCATTAGGTTAAAGACTCGTCAGGGGCATTATTGTAATATTGGGAAGAGTTGGGCTTCAAGTCGGTCAAGTTGGACTTGTTCTCCACGCATCATATCGATCGATGGTACATGGTGTAGATCGATCGATGGAGTATCTCAATTTCATCTTCAATAGAAGCGTCATCGATCGATTACACAGGGTGTGTATCGATCGATATGTGTCATTGTTGTCTGATCTTATAGTCATCTCGAAAAACTCTCCTTTAAGCTCCAAAAGGGCACCTAAATCATCAATTTACTCCAAAGTGCTCATGAATCTGAAAACATACCTAATAGACTCCAAAACATATATAAAACTCATAAAAACATATCAATACCATGGCTAAAAGCGGGTCAAAATCATGGTATATCAATCGTCTGGTAGTCTTCCCGGACGACTTAATGATAAATCCTCTACTAAGTCATCCAGCTGGAAGACTTTTCAGACAACTTATTTTTAAGTCGTCTGCTAAGTCGTCCAGTTGGAAGACTTTCCAGACGACTTAATCATAAGTCGTCTGCTTCTGGAGTAAAGTAAATACCTGTCTTTCAATAGCATCTTTAAACCATCTTCGTCCTTTGCCACCCTTGTAAGCTAGTATCGGTGGAGACGGTCTGTTTGGTATGGGATGACCATAATTAGCACCCAATTCCGGCAGAGCTATGTACACCCAGACCTGGAGAGCTTGTACAAACCCATCAATGGTGTAACAACCAGATATATCTTTGCCCTTCACAGAGTCCATCAACACCTTAAATGCAACTCTCCCCCATGGATAATTCTCAATCCGTTCTAGATCCATCACTAGCCTTGCCACAATAGCCCGTGTAGGGGTTGAAAACTTCCTCCCTTCAATATATCCACCCAAGATGGCAAGGTACCCGAGCCGCTTGCGATCATCCGGAGACCACCTTTCGCATCTCCCAAATGCTGTTATTATCTGATCAGTAGTTGGCCCAGCTTCGACATTAACTCCCAACAACTCTCAGAAAGCAACCAACTCCTTTGTAACAGAACAGTTTGGTCGCTCAAGGTCCCCTTGTACTCGCAGTTTAGACCAGTGAGGTATTCACACTCTAACAGTGAAAACCTCAAAGGTTGTGGAAAGACTCCACAGCTCATACTTCTTCATTATGTCGAGCTGGAAACCGAGCATGTAGTGAACCAGCCTTGAAGCCCATTCACATTCCAGCTCTTAGAACTTGATGAAAACTCCCAACTTAGACTCCTTCAGCTCCTCATATTCGTCATCATTAAGAGCATTCGTTAGAGCAGTATACAACCTCATACACGGATGATACGAAATGTTATGCACTGCGACAGGCTCTTGCCCTAGTGTATGTATCTTACGGAGGAGTTCTGGAATATCCATTTTTTCTGCAAAAAAAATCAAAGACAACCATCTCAAACACACAACCATCCAGTATAACATTTTAATTATAAGTCGGGAAGACTTTCCAGACGACCTATAATTAAGTCGTCTGCTAAGTCGTCCAGTTGAAAGACTTTCCAGACGACTTAATTATAAGTCTACCAAGACTTCCAGTAGAACATTTGAAATCTGACCTGAAAATTTGGAGAAGATATAGTCGCCTTCGACATAGCGGTTATATAACTGCAAAAATAGACGTGAAAAAAAGAAGCGTGATGAGAACGACGGTGAGAACGATGTTTTATGTTCTTCTTTAGATATAACTTACCATGGGCAGAGTTCAACGAAACGCCTCTAAGAAAAACGGCGCTAGGGTTTACAGAAAAACGGCACTAGGGTTTCCTCGCAGATCGGAAATATAGGAAGCGGCGGTGAGAAAGGTGGTGATAACGACGATGGTAAGGCAGAGATAACGATGGATTAGAGAGATTTGAAATCACCTTTGAGAGAAACGACGTTAGGGTTTTCTGAATTTCGCGAAAATATGAGTAAAAAAAAATCTTATATATGTCCGGTAAAAATTCTGGTTAGGTTTAAAAGTAATTTGGTAAAATCAAAGATTCGGTTCGGTTTGGACGACTTATAAGTAAGTCGTCTATTGATACTATACATCCGATTTAGTCGTCTGCCTTAAATATATTTACCAGACGACTTAATATTAAGTCGTCCAGACCCTAAACCCTAAACAAAATTGACTAAATTAACTAACTAACTAACTAACGACATAAAATCAAATTATACTTAAATAGTGTTTACTATACACATAAATAAACACACTTAGGTAAATTTTAAATTTTTCAAAAAAACATTTATGCTTTCGAAAATCTAACCCTAAGAAACACGTACAATACTACAATATATGCTGGCAAAACCTAAACCAAAGAATATCATGACTCAATACTTTAACTCATCTATGTTGAAAACAATTAAATTTTGTTATATCTTAATTTATATCTCTTAAAACATATATTAATTACATGATTTCAATTTTTCACTTATCTAAATATTTTTTACAAAATTTTTAAATTATTTTTATGAATAACTATACTGGACGACTTTCAACTAAGTCGTCCAGACAACTTAATTGAAAGTCGTCAGGATAGAATACTTACGGGGGTTAGAAACGTAAAAAAAAATTGGGTTTTTAGATTTTTAGGTTACTTTTGCATTTGATTCATGTTTGGGTTTACTTTGCATTGGAATCCAAGTTTTGAGTCATATTTGACAAATTTCCCTTAGAACAATCCGCATATGTCCCGCGTAGAATATATTTGACCTGCACCCGCACCTGCAACTTAGTTTTTTCAAATATTGATTCACCCATTCCGTGGCGGGTTGAATGGAGCCAGACCAGCGGACTAATAATTAGAAGATGAATTTGATCCATTAATAAAACCCATTAGTATATAGTTTTTAGCCACATAATAAAAAGACCAAATTGCTATTAATGAAAAAATAAATTTGTTCATAATTTTAAAGGTATTTTTGGAAAACATAAAATCTCATTAAAGTGAGTGATCATGTTTTAATGATATTGATACAAACATAATCTATATTTTATTTTGAGGTGGAATAAAGTAAGGTGCCATGGATGTAAAATTTCCAGGGCCAATAAAGTAACCATCCAAACAGACATTGGTCATTTCATCAAAATCCAAGAGTTCAACGAAGTTAGAGGGAATTGAACCAGCTGGGAGACAGAAGGCTTCAGATTTTGAAATGAATATGTTGAGTTCACCTATGTCTTGAGTGTAAACAGCTTTTCCTTGTTCTTCTAGCTTGAAAACCATTACACCTCTGGTTTTCATTTTCGACAAACATTTTGGGTTAGCCTTTCTAAACCACTTGACTAAGAAAGTCTCGCATGTGGTTCGTGACTCCACCAAATGTTCGCTCACGGAACAAGAATACAGAAGCTCCCGCTTGGCCTTTGTCAGCTCGGGAAGGTTTTTAAACTGCAACCTCTGAAACTTGTGTTGTTTGCCCAAACGATCCCATGACCCAATGAGGTGTCCTCCTGATCCGGGCATGCGAAACATGTCATCTTTCTCAGAAAACATGACACGGGAAGAGAAGAAACAAGGGTTCTTGATCATGATGTTGGTCCACTTACATTGAGCTGGTCTGCAAAGGCTGAGTTGTGGTCCCAAGAACTTCACAGCCACAACACAGTCTTCATCCTCAGGGGAAGATGTAGACATAGCCACGTTGGTCACAACTTTGGTTTGGCAATGAGGTAGAGTCACAAGAGGAGGCAGAGCTATGCGTTTTGGATTGGTGTCAGATGCAACCGGGTTCAAATCATCTTGGAGACGCACAATGCCGTCCTCCTTCAAAGTAGCTACCCAACCATGAGATGCCCCGACCGTAACCATTTCATTCATCAACTCTAGAGGCACCTTCTTTTCCAAATAAGTGTCGCAGTATTCATTATCAATCCTAATGACGAGTTTTCCGAGATCATCTCCACAAGGTTCAGCTCTGGCGATTGAACAAGCAGGTGTTTGCAACATGGAAGATGAGAAGCCACTGGAGAGAAGACGAAAGTATGATCTTCTCAGCAACGCTGGCTCCCCAAGACGGAACTTCGAGACCCGGCTGAGAAGTAGAGACATGAATGATGATGGTAGTGATGTAAAGCAATAGACTGTAAAACCTAATTCAAGACATTAGAAAAAACTACCCTGCAATTTTATATAATACAGAGTATTCGCCTTGCCCTCCAAGTTCATTAGTTTTTTAATATGTTTCTTTACTTCTTGATGTTTTGCTCCGACCATTAAATGTCAACAAGTATCTTTAGTCTAGGAAATAAATATATATACATATATAATCTTTTGTTCATTAAAGGAAACAAGAGGTGATGATCATTTGCAATACTTGCTGAATATTACAGCCAGATTAAGTGGTCATCACACATTTGAAAACGAGAAGACCTGAAAGGAGATGATTCTTAACGGATGAATATATACTAGTACCCAACTCCATGGTCAGCGTAAATAGTTATGAGACTCTATAGGATTTTATAGGATCTTGTGATATTCTATTATTTTCCTTCCACATTTAAAGTTCAGAGTAAACTTTTATTACCAATGGCAACTAGAAGTGTGATAATCATAATTATTCAAGATAGATATAAGAATGATATTATCACATGAAATCAGCAACTAGAAGTGTGATATTCATAATTATTCAAGATAGATATAAAAATGATATTATCACAAGAAATAATCAAATATAACCGGCAATACCCAGGGGCGGATGTATGCTTACCGATTCAATGGCACGTGCCCCCTACTCATTTTTTTTGTTAAACAATAGGTTAATTTGATTAAGTTGTTTTTAGCTTAGTGAATAAACAAAACAAGTGCCCCCAATTCATAATTTTTGTGTTTTGTTTTTAAAGGGAAATAAAGAAGATAAGGTTTTCCTTTAGATCAACTCTGTTTTTCTTATCTTAAGAAGTTTAGAGGTGGTTTATTTATACAGGAAAGGGAAAGCCCTATAACACACGTAGGTGTCATCATCAGGCATTAGAAGAATAATCTAAGGCTGAGAACGCATTTGACAGCTCAACCATATACGCTCCTTCAGCCGTAAGAGTAGCAGCTGGTTTGTTTACGTTGCTTTTGCTAGTCTGAGAGCTTTGTTGACTGGTAGAAGACAACGCCTTGATGTGCTGAGCCGAAATCTTCGTGGGCTTCTTCTGTATTTGGACCTCTTTATGTGATTGGATCATAATGGGCTTTCCTTTCTGCTCTGAAGTAAAGCGTAGTGGTAAAACACTGCCGTTTTTCTCACTTGACTGTGGAGTTTCTATAGTTTTTAGTATTGTGCCCCTACTAAAACCATTTCTAGAATACCTATTCAACTTCTTTTTGCAACTGACCCGTTCAACTTTATTAAGACTTTGTTAATTATCTTGATTGAGTGAAGCTTGACAATAACAATTAGGTTTTATAAACACAAATTTACTCTAGTTTCAGGTATACACTTATTTGTAGGCCAAGACATGACAATGAACTAACTATCTTGTCAACATAGTATTCGAACGTATACGAACTAATGTATACAATACAATCAAACCAACTATTACATCGTTTAAATTGAATACATGGAAGGGTTTGCATGCTCAAAACAAAAACAATCAGGGACTTAAAATGCTACGTAGAGCTGTTTATTTGAATAATAAGACAACATACATTAATATATTCTGAGTGGGAATTAACTCAATTGGGATCCCATGATTCCCATCTATATAATAAGTCAAATAGCATTCATATCATATTTGAAACCGCCCACGACATCTTCCCATGTTAAACAACAACAATGCCGCTTCCATGCAAGCATCACAAACCTACAAAATTTAATTAAAACATCAAATTAAAATAAGGAATATGGTTAGAACAAAACAAGTTGTTCGAATCCAGCGTTGAAAATAGTTCAAGGAAAAATACTGCTACAAAGTCCACCATATTGATCTATAGTTATCAAACATATTTTACAAACCAAAGAACTCACAATTTGCATATATGATACGTGTAAAGAAACTTTCTGAACTATCTTCAAAGAAAATAAAGAAACTTTCTGAACTATATTGGTCATATTAATACATGCAGAAAAGGTAAGAGACCATAGAGAAAAAAAGAAACAGAAAAGGAGCTCCCTTCAATCCAAACGAAGAGAAGAGAAGGATATACATATAAAGAGAGTAAGATAGAAGATCTTAGAGCCCATGCAAACCCCTTAAAGGGCGGATTCTTCAAGCTATATTAACCTAACACACTTCATAGGGGAATCCATGAACAACAAGATTTTCTGTTCTTATTTCCTTAAACGTGTCCTCCTCGTTTTGGAGGAAGGGAGCTCCTTTGATTACATTTGGAAAAACTAGTGTACATTAAAAAACTTTGATATATTTCACTTACAAAACAAAAAAGTAAAGAAATCGAAGGCGGAGTAAGATTGCGATAGATTGATGAAACTAATGGTGTGAAGAGGAAGAAGATTGTTTGAAGTGGTTTATATAGATGAAATAGCAAAAACCCTAGTTCTGCTTCTAGGAATGATTATGGAAAAATGTTATAAAAATGTAAAAGCATAGAAGAAGAAAATGGCAGTGAATATTGTCATTAATTAGAGAGTACTTAACATAATCTTGTTCGATAGATTCATTTGTAATTCTTGATACTATTTACAATCCTTTTTGCATTATGACTACTAGGGGATTTATCATACTCATGTACGGTACAAATATTTACAAAATATGTGGTTTATAATATTTATAATAAATATTTTATTTTATCAGTTTTAAATAATTTTATAATTTTGGTATATTGAAAAATAGAAGATTTTTTAAACATACATTTTATTTTACTTATAAACAGTTTCATCTATTCAGTTAACTTTTGTGTATATGAGATTGGCTTTATCCATTTTAATTGTATCATAAATGTTTCATGATTCAAAATAGGTTAAAATCAGATTAACTTTCTTAGTTCATTTAATTTGGTTTATTGTCTTGTATTCAGAATATATATTTATATTTTCGTAACTTATGTATAATTTGATATATATTATTTTGAGAAATGAATAGAAAAGTGTTGTCAATGCGGAATTGCATGATTATTCTTTTGAAAGTTTATGCATGTATATAAATATTTATTTTCAAACTAATTAGTTATAATTTGTTAATATTTATTTTCACTTGTTCAGTTGTTCTGTATACTTAAAATGAGAGGTTAATTACGTCAGCAATTTATTATTCATTTTATGCTTATAAATTATAAATTATCACTATAAGAAAAAGTTTGTTTCATATCAGTTATCTATATCTATCTATCTATTACAATAAAGAAGATTTCTATTTTTTTATGGTGCCATGTTACTAATAGGGTGATTTTGGTCGTGACATATGGAAAAAAGTTGGGCTTTTGGGTTTTTATCAACTATGGGCTTCGGCTCATCTCATTAATTATATAATTTGGGTGAGAACAATAACGAAAGCTTGGTCCAAAAATATGACTTCATATCGGGCCAGTGGCACTCCACCCGAGCCCGAGCCCAAGCCCAGCCGGACCGGCCAGCAGTGGCGGCGTGCGCGTGTGGAGCCATCCCTCACCCTGAGTCGTTTACACACTCTTAACACTTGAGCATATATATGCTGCTCCATTTCTTCCTCTTTGGCCGATGTGGGACAAAACCAAAATACTGAATTTTTAGTTTTCATCCCCACAAAGATACCAATTTCAAAGCTTCATTTCTTATTCAGTTTTGATCTATTTTTAAAGTGTAAATATACCACATTGTAGTACTCGTTACAAGTTCTACAACGAGCTGATGATCTGACCAGAACGACCACCGGTTTGGCCGGAAAGTCGCCAGAAAATCAGAAAAGATCAGCTTCTAAAAACAGAGTCCCAACAGCAACAACAACATTGAACTCTCTGACTTCCCCCTCTCCATACGCTTCTATGAGCTAACGGCGTTCGTCGGGTTAATTAGCTCCGTTAATTCAATACCTATGGAAATGTTTAAGTTCCGCAAACACGACGACCTACTTACTTTGGCAAAGACTAACGCCCACCTATCCGGTTTGTTTCTTATCCTTTGTAGCTACAAGTTCCCATTCAAACATCCCCACTCTGTTTTCATGATCCATTGTTAATTTCTTTGTACGAAATATTGGTGAGTTAAGCGCAATCAAGAGCACATTCAATGCTAGACACGTGAATCACCCAACATATAATGCCAACACTTCGTATGAACATGTAATTTGACACGCAAATCACCCAACGTTTCTAATTCTATATTACCATGTATCCACCACCACGTCTGAAACCATCGTACCTTTGCAGGCAAATGGAAAAATAACATCTCAGTTTTAGATATGTACATATGCCAATATTGATCATTATACTTAGGGCAGCCTCGCATGTACCAACCTTGGAGGAGACAAGCTTCTTTCGACACCCTTTGATAACACGCCAGTGAGAAGGTGCGATGAGTCTTTTAGATCAGAGAAACTTGTTTCAAAATTTAAAGAATTCTTATTTGTTTGTTAAAGAATAGTCATTGGGGTTGATCTCCTTTATCATTCATATATGGACATGACGTGGTGTCAAGATGACTAAGACCCTGTTGAATAGAATCTAGTTAGAGGATTTGTCTGCATGTCGAGGAATATACTTTAGATATAGGATTGGTCTGCATGTCCTAACAACTGATGTAAACATGTGTCGGTTAAATAAATGATGTTAATTTTACATCAATTTATTTAAGTGATGTTAGAATTAGTATCAGTTACAATAATTGACTTAAATTATTTGTATTACTTATTAATAACTGATATAAAATTAGTATCATTTTTCATAAGTGATTTTCCTAATTATATCATCTATAACTACTGATTTAAAATATCTTAATCACTTGTACATAATTGATGTTTACAAAAAAAAATAAGATATCCCCTATATATTAATTGAGAAACATTTGAAAAATTGTAACCTCAATTTTTTAATAATTAAAAAAGAACCCATGCTTACGTGTCACTCAATTAGGTAGTCAATTACATTCAATTGAAAAAATAAGTAGGTCCACATTCGATTTTTATATG